GGCACGCGCCGTGCACCCGGGGTCGGAGCCGGCCATGTGCCCAAGGTTGGGGACCACGGCTTTAAGGGCTCCTGTCCATAGGAAGTTGCCCAGAATAGCTATTCGGGTCACAACTTTTCCAGTCACTTACCCTATATGGGCTCTATTCCAGAATAGGCCACTTGATTCCAGAATAATGAGTGCATTTCTAGATGGGAATAATGATTCTGGAATAAAATGACTTATTCTGGAATAGTTTCACAGAAGGAGCTAATATGCATGATTGTAATCTGCAGTAGCTATTCTGATCAATTTCCCCATGTAGACTGGGCTTTTCATTGTTATTGGTCTGAGCTACCACAACTGAAAAACAACTTTGTGCTTGGAAGTCAGGAAATGACAACATTGTAGCAGTAGTTAAGTATGAAGAGACTCCATCTACAAATACCCAGTTAAACAGAGATCAGTCTTCTCTTTTGATCCCTTGCTACCAGTGCTTCTCCAGCATCACTGTGAACCAGACTACAGATGAAAATCCTGTTGAATTAGTTAACTGTTTAAATGCCTGAATAGGTGGGGGTTTCTCGGGTAGCAGTGCTCCAGCCTAGCCAGTGGTGGTGATGAGGAGCTGCTCCAGCCGCTGATGGTTACCCTTAGCTGGTAAGCATCATCCGGGAATGGTGATGCTTACTGATTAACCCTTCACATCCCCAAACCAGACATCAGGAGAAAATCAAGGCAATTAGGCAAGTAACACAGCCAGGAAGGCTTTGCAAAGAGTTCAGTGGTTGGTACTCTAGTGGCTTCCATCAGATAAGAGGGTAGGTAAAGATCCTCATTGTAAAGATAACAGGGGTGTGTTGAGGTCAAGACTTAAGGTTATGAGGGAGGTCAGGCTGTTCTTTAGTTTGGAACTACAGCTAGTACCTCCTTCAAAAAACATTTTGAGATGGGTGCTTTGAAACTAGGACAGTTCTATTCAGTTTCCCATGATGGTATCTGAGGGCATTGTTCAAGATTTGAAAGTTGAAATTAAAACTGGGCCCGGCGCCCAGATAGAAATTAGTTTTTGTACAAGCTGAAAAGGAAAAGGGCCCCCCCCCCCCACCGAAAAGAGAAGGTCACAAATGCAGTGAACCAAATAGAAAAGCCTTACCCAGAGCCTTCCAGACAAAGAGGGAAAGGGGTGAACTGTCTTACATAGTCTCCATGGGCTGGCAGTCTTATTGAACATATGAGACCTCCAAGAGCTGGTGAAATCTTAGTTTCAAACTCCTGCATGGGGATTTTGCATGTGGGTTGTATTCTAGTCTTCATTGTGCTGCTGAGGTTCTTCCCTTTTGCCCTGAAGCTGTTACAAGGGGCTTTCACTGCTCAATGATTTTCTAGGTGTATGAAATCAGTGACTGCACAGTGGGCACAGACTTAAAAACACTCCTTTGCAAGGCAGAATAGTGTTACATTTACCAGTGCAAAATATACTCGCTCACTGTTTACAATGATGGTAGTAGAAAATGCTAATAGTTTAATTTCCAATTTGAGGAAAAAAAATACCTTACCTTGAGCAAGTGGGCAAATCAGAGCTTTGCAGAATCCTAGGGCCAGTCCTAAGGATGTTGGGATGGATGCTTATTGCTCATAAATGGTGCTGGATTAAAGGCCCGTACAGACTGACAGCAGTGCGTGGAACACAGCAGTGATAAATGCCTCACTTGAGCACTGATCTTGCAGGGGCGAGAAGGGAGTTCAGTCTTCCTGGCCTTTTCAGTCCTGGGCCTTTTCCCCTACTATGGGAATTTTTTGGCAGAGACACTTGCCAGTGGGAACTGGGTAGAGAAACCAAACAGCAATAAGATGGTTTAAAAAGTGCTTTAAAAAACCCTGCCATTGTGGGCTAGATTTGAACCAGTGGGGAGGGGGACAATTGGGGCACTGATCATGTGATTTGCTCCCCATTAGGGATGTAAGTGACTAGTTGCTTCTCCTCCTCCCTCCCTCCCCCGCCTCTATCAGAAAGAGGCAGCGGGGGGGGGGGGGGGGGATGTGCTTAAAAGCTGTTCCCTCCAGCTCCATGGGAGGGGGGTAGGGGCGCAGCAGCAGCATTCCAACTTTGAAATGCACAAGAGTGCCTGCGGGGGCTCTTCTACATTTCAAAGGCAGAACGCCGCGCTAGTCCTTATCGACTAATCGAATAGTCGACGAAAATCACATTGATTATTCGATTAGTTAATTAATCAAAACTACTCCCCATGTGACTCCTCCCCACACCAGCCCTAGCCCAGAGGAGGGCTCTGTCCCCTTGCTGCTGCTTAGCAATGGGGCCCCAGGGATTAGTGGGGGACAGGGTCTAGTGCTGGAAGCAGGGGTCAGCCCCAGGCCACTCCGCTCCCAATCATTTGCTCCACTTCCCACTGCTGCTGGCAGTGAGTGTGGCAGACTCCCGGCCCCTGTCAGTCCCCTGGGCGAGGGGGCTGGGGGCCCTCAGATATGGAAAGCCTCCACAGCAAATTAGTCGGGGACAGAGGAGCTGAAAAATAACCTGTTCTGTGTATGGCCTGCTCTTGTTTTCTGTTTCTCTAAGCCTGTATGTTCACACCAGTTAGGTATCTGCTTTGCAGCCTCTCCGCTTCCCCCTTCCTTCACACTGAGCCTGACCTGCTTTCCTTGTGCTAGTGCAGAAAGTAGGGCAGGCTTCTAGCTTTGGATGTTATTATTAGAAAGTGTTTAAAAAAAATCAAATCCTGGATTCTTACCTGCCTCGCCTTTTCAAAGAAAAACGGTGCAATAAAGAGAGCACCTCAGGAAAATTATATATCGTGATGCTGACTCCTGCCTTTAGCAGCATGAGAGAGACTGAAGCTAAAGGGCAGGAATGGGGGGAGAAGAGGCTCCTTCCCTGGGCTAGTGGAGAGGATTCATTTAGATATGGAGGGGGCGTGGCAGAGAGACACTGCAGCTGTTTGTAAAGGGAGATTTCCAGTCAGTAGCATTAGACTGGAGGTTCCTTGACATACTTCCCCAGCTTGTGTTAAGATGCAGAAAAGCCCTGATGAAAAGGAACAGTGAAGAGCACACTCAACTCTGTGACTGAGTTGAGAATCCAGAGTTGTACCATGGTGGATTACACTGCTGTAAATCCCCAGTGAGAGCAGAGTTTGCCCTCTGTGTTTCTTTTATGGCCCTCCTTACAGGACATCTCAAACAGTATTAGCTAAACCACATTTTGCACACTATGCTAGTAAGGTGTTTCCCAGGCCAGCATATTGAGGGCTGCATGGTGTTAGCCAGTTTATAAAACCATGTTGTAATGTGGCTCATCACAGTTAGATCTCTAGAAACAGCTTTTGTTAGGAAAATCAAAAACTGTGGTTCTGGCTTCTATTTGACCTGTATTTTTGATGGGGCATAAAATAGGATCCGGATTCTTATGACATTGGATCTCATTTGACTGAAAATTTTCAGCAGTTAGATTTCTTTCTGTACTCATTTCTTAAAACAGACACACATTCTCAGTAACTGAGGAGCCATATAACTGGAACATCACTCGACCTTTGGGGACTGACAGAACACGTGAATTCTCATCCACCCTTGATTGAGACCCAAAGTTGCTGGATCTATCACTAGAACTGCTTCTCCGGGGACTGATGGATAACTGCCTTTTTAGAAACATAACCCAAGGTCTTTGTCCTGACCTGCCTAATACTGTCTGTTTAAAAAAATAAATCCTAGCAATACCGTTTGCATCTGGTTTATTACATCTTCATCTCCCTCTGATGAATAACCTGTTTTGTCACATGTTTTGATTTTCTTCATAATTAATTTGTTTAAGCTACAGTGCTGTCTTGTTTTTGTTTCTTTCAGAATAGGAATCTCCAGTCTGTAGCTGCACTTTTAACTGTTGTCGCAAAGATACAGCATTGCTGCACCGCTCACAGCTTTATCCATTACTAGTTATTTAAACTGGACTTTTAATATCCTGCCAGCTGCTCTTCAGACACACATGGTGCATTGTTGTCATTCTCAGAATTGCATCTTTGAAACCCAGGGCCTCAGTAACCTTCGTGGAACAAAGAGGCAACCTACAGGATACATTTATAGTGGGATTTCTCAGACTTACTGCCCTCTAGCTTTATTCTCCCCAGTGCTGAATTTCTAGCACATCATGGAGCCTGGTATGGAGTATTGCTTAGCACAGGTGCTTCAGAAAGATGTTGGAAAGAGACTTCAGGTTGGCCAAGAATTGATAGATTATTTCTCAGATAAACAGAAGTCTGCTGATCTTGAACATGATCAGACTATGCTGGATAAAATGGTTGATGGACTTGCCACTTCTTGGGTAAATTCCAGCAATTACAAGGTAAGATTTGCTTGGGGAAAACTGATTAGAGTCTAATTCTGCTTTAGTCTGGCAAGTCATATTGTCTTATATGTAAGGAACTTCTTTTAAATAAACATGGAATCTTGTTCATTTTCACTTGTTGTTCTGCAGACTTCTTCATAGTCCTATTCAATCCATTGTTCTCACCTCGTTTCTCAATAAAGATTTTGTAGTTGATGCTGTAGTCGAGGACCCATGGTACTCAAACTGCAATGCTTAAATAAACAAGTGTGTTAATATTCTGTATCTTAAATCACAGCTAAGCTTTTCTCCAAATTGAGTAGCAGGTTACATTTTGCAGTTAGCTAACTTGGATTGTTTGCATAGCTTGTTCACTTGTGCGATTTGGTCATCTCCAATAGCTGTTCCATTGTTAACAGAAGTTAATGAATTTGTACTGGATATATTTGTAATATATTAATTGGTTTTATTGCAAAACATTCATATAAGCTGCCAATATCCTTTTATTCTTGCATTGAACAACAGCTAATGTGAGTTTTACATTAACTGCTTTTATGATACAATATGTAAGTGTACTTTATACTTCGTAGAAGGCTCATTCAGCCATTGTATCTTCAGCTATGTCAGAATTTGCCATCATTTGTAGTGATATCACTGTGGGACAGGAATGGGTGGCAGGACATGGAACTCTCCATAGCAATTAGGGATGTGGTATCTGGGAGTAGCCCCCTGCCGGTGGGCAGCTGTGGGCGGAGGGCTGCTCCAGCTTGGTTGGGTCCCTGTGTGGGATTGCTGGCTTCTAACCCCTGAGTCGGCAGCCCCATATGGGGCTGGCAGAGCCTCCTGCCTAGCACACCCTTTAATCGGTGAACTGGTTAAACACTACGTTTAACTGGTTACATTCCTCATAGCAATCTGCCACCACTCTCCAAGGCGTATTTGGCTTTTGTGTAACAAGTTAATTGGCTAATTCTTAACGAGCAAGTGTTAACTTACAATTTGTACGTGTTCGCTTCCTTCCTGTGGAGGCCTCACGGACCCAGGATCAGTCTCTCCCAAATCATAGTTGAAACACATTGCCCAGGTTGTATGAGAAAAGTAAGGCAGTTCTGTTGTGGATAACTCATGGACTTCTTCAGTTCTTTTGAGAACTGAAACGCTTCACGGGATTAAAAACCCCAGAGCTTGGAATGAATTAACTATGGTTCCCTCTGGAATTATTTGCGATTTACGGCATTATGCAGAGCCTGGAATACCAGTTACTCAGGTGCTCCAGAGTTCATTGTTTCCTGCAACTCCATTTCAGTGTTTTCACAGACTTTTTAAACTGGCAGTGTGTGCAAGGATGCAGCATTTCTCTGATTTATATGATCAGCTGCATTTTTTTGCATTGCCCTGTTTGTTGTCTGCATTTGTGCAATTGAATTTTGAGTACGCTTGATTGGGCACTGAGCAATTGTGGTGGAAGCTGAACTTCCTCTGACGTTTTAGAGAACTTCTGCATGTCACAGGTGGCAAGAAGATCAGTTCTGATGCACACTGCAAAGACATCTTGATGTGTGCATGCCAGCTGTTCTGTTACCTGAGGGTATTGCATGCTTTTTCCTTCTTCCTAAGGGGTTCCTCAACTATTATGTTATCTTACTACTGAAGATGTTGGAATTCACAGATATTGTCAACTTTTTTCTATTCATAGCGCTTTTAAAAATTAACAAAGGTTATATAGATACATAGGATGTGCCAAGCTCAGCTTGAAGTTAAAATGCAGAGTAAGATTTTTGTTTTTATATGTTATCGTTGCTTTTTTTTTTCTTCACCATTGGTCCCTTGAAATATGCATTCTCCCAACTTCCAGCAAGGAATTTTATGGGGATTAGTGAAGCAGGAAAGACCAATAAGTCATTGACTCTCCATATAGTCTCACATTTTTGTATGACCTCATATTTTAAATATGTAGATCTTCTTATTGCATAAATTGAGGCAGCGGCTACATTCAGGCTACGTCTAGACTGGCATGATTTTCCGGAAATGCTTTTAACGGAAAAGTTTTCAGTAAAAAGCATTTTCGGAAAAGAGCATCTAGATTGGCATGGACGCTTTTCCACAAAAGCACTTTCTGCGGAAAAGCGTCCGTGCCAATCTAGATGCGCTTTTCTGCAAAAAAGCCCCAATCGCCATTTTCGCGATCGGGGCTTTTATTGCGGAAAACAAATCTCACCTGTCTACACTGGCCCTTTTGCGCAAAAGTGACTTTTGCCCGAACGGGAGCAGCATAGTATTTCCGCAAGAAGCACTGATTTCTTACAGTAGGAAGTCAGTGCTTTTGCGGAAATTCAAGCGGCCAGTGTAGACAGCTGGCAAGTTTTTCCGGAAAAGCGGCTGATTTTCTGGAAAAACTGGACAGTCTAGACACAGCCTCAGTGTTTATCATTGTTATGGAAACTAATGGTTTTCTTTCATAGTACAGGCTGAACCTCTCTCATCCAGAACTCTTATCCAGAAACATCTGTGGTCCAGAATGATTTTTGTTAGCCAAATGTCCACTTTTTATGGGTGTGGCCAAGTCTCCCGTGGCCCCATAAAGTTTGTTTACAGCCACCAGTCCTGGATCTATGTTCTGTGCTGTTATTTAGCTTTAATTCACCCCTACATGTCCTCTAAGAGCCCAGTGAGCAGTGGAAGTGTAGGTAATGGTGCGAGAAAACACTGACCTCCCGTGATCCAGAAATCTCTCTAGTTCAGAGCTGGTCTGGTCCTGAGGGTGCCGGGCGAGAGAGGTTCAACCTGTCGTTTATAAAATGACTTATCTTTGGAATAGATCTGCTACTTACGCAAAGGCCCTTCACATAGAAGTTATGCCTGGAGAGCCTTTAGCTCAGTGGTATGTTTAATTGGTTAAGCTCTTACATGGAGCTGGGCTGGGGTCTGGAGCAACCCCCTGCAGACTGTGGCTGGGTTGGAGCACCCCCACCCGCAGTGCGGCAGGCTGTTCCGGCCAGGCTGGCCTCACCAAAGGTGGGGGCTGCTCCATCCTGAGCTGTTGGTTAACCATAATCGGTAAGCATCACCTGCTAAGGGTGATATTTATCGGTTAACCATTCACATCCCTACAACCTGGATGTAAATCTTGCACAATAGTATACCTGTCTCCATCTCTTGTTGTGGCTCGCTGCATTTAAATTACCGTCTCCCTGCATATTGGCTGCTTGGTGGGATCATAGGAGCTCAGGTTCCTTTGCTCAGTGCTACTTGCAGGGGGAACTAGGTGTGAGAGTGAGGCTAGGGGAGCTCCTGATATTTGATCAAATCCAGGGGCTCTTCTAAATAACTGCAGGTTACTTATCACTTCCATAGAGTAGCCATCAGGAGATCTAGACTGGGAGTGTTTGGCTACAGTTGAAGAAGCCAGTATTTCTAGTGTATCTGTCTCTCTCATTCTTGCTCCATCCCCAAGTCTGGAAGTGTCTATTTAAAGCAAAGACTGGGGTGATATCACTTGATGATTTCCCTGTTCTGTTCATTCCTTCTGGGATCACCAAGCATTGGCCAGTGTCGGCAGACAGGATACTGGGCTAGATGGACCTGACCCAGTATAGCCATTCTTATGACTGAGACTATATGGAAACTGAAATTCAGAATCGCTGTTACTGAACGTTTCATTAATAAAAGAAGGTCTTGAGCTTTGAGTCACTGATCCGGTGGCATGAGACAGTATGCTTAGTTTACTCCTGGCTGTGGCCTGCGCCCAGTATTGCTCTTAGCTAAGTCTGTCAGCCATCCAGTGTAATTATGGAAACATCAGCACACACAGGCTAAGTGACTTTCACAAGGCTGCCCGCTTCAGGATTCAAAACAATGAGTCCCAATTGCCAACGACACAACAAGAGTAAATCTATTTAAAGAGAGGATATAGGTTTCCTTTTGGAGTGCATAGGCCTCCACTGTCTAATAACTGTGCTCAAGCAGTTTTTTAGACTCTGGCTTCGTCCACGCAGTATTTTGTGGAATCCTTCCTCTTGGCGCCAGCTAACACCCTTCTCCAAAGGCTGTAGCAAAAAAGAGAAGGTGGCTAGGAGAAGGGAGTGCATTGCTTCAGTCAAAGGCGATACTAAATCCCATGTTGATTTTTACAGTATTTAATTGGCAAGACTACCTACAAGTGAGTTGACAGACTGCTGCATCCCTTGTTTGTGCTGATGGCTTGCAGTCCCAGCAGTTCATGGTGAGCTGCTGTTTTCTGAAGGGAAGAAGACACTCTAAAGCAATTCATGATGTCTGATAATCTCATATCAAAGGAAATATGAAAGATGTTCCCAAGAAGCAAGGCACTTGGAGACCCTGTCCAATGCTGCCTTTTCTCCACTAACAGGCATTGCTATTAATGCTGCTGCAGCTTGTAGACCTAGGAATCTGATTACACAGACCATAGGCTTCCGCTGATGAATATCCTGGGGACAGAGACACTGCATATTTAATAACTTACTGTGTAAAGAGAATTACATGTGAACTAGCCTGGTATCTAAAACCCAGCATAGGAAAGCTGGAACAAAGGACCATTGCATGGGACTACCATGACCCCCAAATCTTTTTCAGTCACTGCTTCCCAAGAGAGTCCTCCATTCAGTATTAATGACCTACGTTCTTTGTTCCGAGATGTATACATTCATATTTAGCCATATCAAAGCACAATTTGTTTGCTTGTGCTCTGTTTACCAAGTGATCCAGATCTGAATCAATGACCTGTCCTATTCATTATTTACTCTCCCACAATTTGTATGTTCTCTACAAACTTTACCAGTAATGGTTTTATATTTTCTTCTAGGTCATTGCTAAAATTCTTAAATAGGGTAGGACCAAGAAATAGTCCCTGTGAGATGCCACTGGAAATACACCCTGTCACAGATGATTGATCATTTACAGACATTTTGAGTTATCAGTCAGCCATATTTTTAATCCTTTTAATTTTTGTAGCATGTTCATTTTATATCGTTCTAGATTTCAAATCAGAATTTCATGTG